TGAAACATTGTATTGGACATTAGTTTTCGAACAGATTATTTATTTTGGGTTGAACAATTATTAATTTTGATGAACCATAGGATGTAAGTTAATAGCGGTATAGGTATTATTTCCAGCATTCTTTTGCCGTAATTCTTCAAAAAGAAAAATGGCACTCTTGATTCTCTCTATTTTAGGTCATTAGCACTTCTGATCTCTTGTGTTTCTGGCTATGTTTTGGCCTTTTTGTTTTAAGTACGATGCACTTTTGAAGTTTCTGATAATGTATTGGCATAGACTAAAATGGCATGTATTTACAGGTTAAATGTACATTTCATTGCACCATACAAATTTTGGATTACATATGCTACTTTAGTCCCAAAAAAAATTAAAATCCACATCGAATTTCCAAAGTGTTAAAAATAATAGTATAAATTTTAAAATTTAATGTGGACTATTTTTTATTTTTTATTTTTTAGACGGAGGTAGTATTAAATATATACCAATCAGCAGAAGACTAAAGTATTTTCATTTATAATTTTTTGGTTTGTAATAACTTAATCTGGAAGATTAAAGGCCTCAAGGAAGAAAACAAAGACTGCCATTAAACCAAGAGTTGACTTCTAATTTTACCCATATATTCTAAATTTCAAATTCAAATTTTAAAACTCTAAACTTTAACCCCACATTCCAATTTTCAACCTCAAACACTAATCTCCAATCTTCAATCTTTCTAGATTTCAAATCGATGGCCGGAGAAAATCACCGTCGCGAGAAATCAAATTAAAGAGTTTACTATATCTTTTGATAAATAAAAATTCACTTTAATAGTCGATATTGTTGTACTATATTAATTTAACAAAAAAAATTTATTTTTCAAAATGAATGGAGTAATTTTTATGTTTAAACATATTTGATGATATACAATTTCCCTCCTATTTTCCATATGCCTTTGTGATAAAATAGCTATCTACTTGAATCTGATTTTTTTTTTTCTAAATCTGAAAAACCGGTCGCTCCGAACGCCTGGCCTGACGTCCCAGAAAGAAAAGGATAGTATGGCCACCGTCCGCCTTTAAACTAGACGGCAGGGTCGCCGTCTCGTTATTACCTTGACGGTAGCGCCGCTGGCTAGGCCTTTTTTTAATGAATAATTTCTATTTTAATTATTTATTGTTCTTTAATATTTTTTTTAAAAAAAATCTGAAAACCGGTCGACCGACAGCAGTGACGTCCGAGAAGTGGTCGGCCGAGACCTGACGTCCCAGAAAGTAAAGGACGGCATGGCCACTGTCCGCCTTCGTTATTACCTGGCCGGTAGCACCGCCAGCCAGGCCTTTCTCTTTTTTTGAATAATTTTTATTTTAATTATTTATTGTTCTTTAATTAATTTTTTTTTCTTTCAGTTCAGTAATTTATTTTATTTAGTATATGTTGTTATTTTTCAATTTAGTTTTAATTTATTACGAAATATAGTTAATTAGCAAATAAGGTAGTATGTATTATAATTGTTTAGTAAATTAGTGAAATAATAATTAAAATATATTGGAAAAATATTTTTTATATTAAATAGTAGTTAAGTTAGTTAATATATAATTAAAAGTTAAGTTAACTAATAATTATAGTGTCTAATCACTTATTTTAGAATAAAAAATGAAAAGAGTATAATTGTCTTTTTTTACCGTGGTCTTTATTGGCGGTCTTTAACACGACTCTTATTTAATTGTTCAAATTTTCTTTTGAATTTGAAGGAAAAGTTTATTTTTTATTAATTAAAATAATCACTTTCTGTTTTTCATTATAAAAAAAATGTGTATTTTTCGAAACTACAGAAGAGAAAAATGACACAATACAAAAGCTTTTTTATTTTAGTGCAGTATTAATTTATTTAGGGTCAGTCCCGTTACGACCCCTATAAAAGATGGCTCCAGTTTCTGAAATGGAGCTGACTGCAGAGACTTGAGAGGTGTTTTCAAGCTCAGAGAACACTTTATGAGGCAACAGAGAAAGATCGGGAATTCTGTGAAAGGGTTGTTGCCCCTTCTCTGTTTAGCCAATGATTCTATCGTTCCATTTCGAAAACCAACAGCCCTTTTGTCCTTCGGACGTTTCAGTTTACCTTTACCTTTTGAACTCAATGGTTATTGCTAATCTTCTCTGTATCATTTCAATTTTAGCTATTTTCTCCAATGTTTATGCCTAATCTTGGAATTCAAAAGGCTGTGATGAAGGATTTTCATAGTTCTCTGCGCAAGTATGGTCGGGCAGGCATTGAGGTTGATGTTAACCCATATCTTGGCTGGGCAGGACCCGGATGGCGTAATTTATTGGAGGCTTATGCAACCGGTTCTGCAGCCATGGAGGTGTCATCTCCTTCTTTGCCTGCTCTTTGATTACTGTACTTTTCCTGAGCCTCTTATTCGTTTTTTTTTTTTTTTTTTCTCATTTAGCCGAGCAATTGATTTTTGAGTATCTCATTGATGTTTGTTAAGTTAAGAGGGGTAGTGACTAGTGAGTAGGGGTCTTATATTTTTTTGTGTTACTGCATTTTGATTTGTTTGTATGGCTTGTTCATTTCTTGAAACTAGAAAGTTGCTGTTTGTATCTGATTTGTTATTTGAACCGAACTCTGTGTTAATACATCTAAGCATCCGGGCTGATTCTTGAGGCAATCCCATGTTTATGATCGTTAATGGAAGAGCCTCAGTATTAGACAAAGATATTAAGGAAGAAGATCGAGTTAAAAAGTATTGGCCGGCTGTAAATTGATGTGAAACACTGGAAATTGATGATAGTCCCGGTTATTCTGGATTGCAAATTTCCAGAACTGCAATTGAAAAATACACATTTATAAGTTTTTTTGTCTCTTTGATAAATCTGTGAGAAATTGGCTTAGAGCGTAATTTTGTTTGTTAGTGAGAATTTCTATCGTATATGTTGGAAGTTTTAAATTTTGCATTGACTTGAGAAAATTCCACTAGCAATGGAAAGCAATAATGGAGCATCATTGTGATCACAGTGACCTCAAGAGATTTGTATGGCATTTTACAAAATGTAGTTGTATATAATTCGAACATGGTACATACATGCATTGAGGATTTGATTAATTTGATGGTCACGATAAATTTGTAAGGTCGAAGATGTTTGTTGTGCTTATAATCATTTCCTATGTTGATGGTCAATTACCCCAATATTACTGTACATGATATGATGCAGGTACACATGCAATGCTTTACAGATATACATTTGATTGGTAAGAAAAACTAGCATACTTTTTGCAACTTGGACATGATGGCTTTTAGATTTTCTTTTTCTTGTTGGGCGTAGTTTGATTTTCATGAACAGAGAAGGATTTTATCTCATGCATAGTTACAACTTCAAAATTTTCTATTGAAGTAATTATGTTGAAAGTCATGAGTGAAAAGTTATAGCTTCCGCATGGAAAAGAATCTGAATCCTACTGGGACCATTATTTGGTATCAATAGCTCAGGCATTCATGCATCGAGTTTACTGTCTGCAAAATATCAGCACTTGAGGGATGGTTGTTAGCTAAATAAGCAAGTAGAATCTGGCATTGCTTGTTGCATTTTGAATTTCATCTTTTGCTCTTTTCGTCTAGTTTCATTTCGGTTGCACATTTTTGCGTGTGAACAGATGGCTTTTTCTTTGTTCTCAAGTAATCGATTCGTGTCTGTGTCATTTGAAATTGCATGATGACACCTTACTTCCTAGGGTACAATTAAGTTGAACCATTGTCTTTGCCTGTTGCTTTTATCTTCAGAAACATGTGGTATGTTCTTTTACATGAGAAGATTGTAGGTAGTTGAGTTTTTCTCCAAATCTGGTTTTATCAACCATTCAGGGCTTTGCTTAGTGCATGTTTCACAAAAGTTGGAGCACTTTTTCAGCACTGGAAACATCTCCAGAGAGGCTTTATGAAAGGGCCGACTTCTTTCATCAAGTCTTTGTCCTGTCCTTTCCTTAGGTTGCCTTCTTACTGTTCAACGAGTTCAGTTTACTATTTTGTTTGTGGAAGGAAAATTCCAGAAATCCACTCTACTTCCTGTTCTGCTTTTCAACTTCTGACATTGGAGAATAAGGGATATGCTTTAAGATATGTCCTAGTTTACGCTTTTCTACTTCCGCTGTAGAATCTGATCAAAGATGAGGTATATGGATTCATGAAAGTACTGTGAAGGTTTTTTCTTCCTGCATTTAGAAATGGCCAAATGGTTAAAGGAGGTTGCTTGGCAAAATGTTGATATAAAGTACTTTGAAGCATATTAAAGAGTCCTAATCCCACATCGGTGTTGGGAGACTCTGAGTATCAATATATAAGCTCTATGGGCTCTCTGTAAGCATACAGAGGTTCATAGCACAGAAGATCTCTTTGTCTAAACAAGCCTCAAGATCAACTGTTCAAGTAATTAGCCTAGCCAAAGGTTATCTACTTAAATGGACGTGTCAAATTCAATGTGAAGGATACAAAAAGTTTTCTACTGATTGAGCTCAGTAAGATGTAGTCCTAATTAGTTCTCTGTTAATAAATTATGATGTTTACCCCAAAAAAAAAAGGATTAAATGGCCATAAAACACGTTTTAGTTAACAACAGGGAAAACTTGGTTGTAGAGAAAGGCGAAAGGGAAGTGAAAATGAATTGTATCTCAGCAACTGAGCAAAGGGCATTGTTCTCATGGTAAGAGAGTTATAAGATTCTGGATTTAGTTGTACTCAACTCATAATCAATTGCTTTTGACCATTGATCAATTGCGTTTGACTTCCATGGTCAAATTTCATCCAACATTGATATTACTTATTAGAGCCTAGAAAGGTGGCTTCTCGATGGTTTCCTCCATTTTCTATAAACATTCAAGTCTCTTCCTACCCAGCCAATTATAATTTAACCAAACCGTCGATTGATGTTCATTTAAGGTCATTTTACATTTTATCGCATCAAAGAAAGCTAACTAATCCCGCACTCTTCTTCACTCTCTCTACTGTATCCAACTTCGTTCTCAAATGGACGCTTTTGTAAAAAGTTTCTTCCCGGAGTTCGACTCACCGGGGATGGAATTCTTGCCGCTCCAAAACAACCACATTGGATTTGCATACGCCCAATGTCATCTGAAGGTGTTCGACCAGTTTGTTCCGCGTCTGCGCAACTTCTTCGCTACTCAGCCCATGACAACTCTGGGCCTATTTGAAGCCAGCATCCATTCGTGTCCCTCCAGTCTAGATGGTCTTTCCAAGAATTACTTGACCCCTGGCGGCGGTGCTATAAACCTTCCGGCGCTGTTTAACCACGGCGGCGGTTAACAGACTGCCAACATGGCCTCGCTACAGTCATGGAACTGGGCCGACAATCATGTTCCCCTGCTGGTAAACATGCTCCGGTACGTCCTCCTCACCAGCCTCCGGCGGGTTGGGTCATGGCTACCCAGTTTACGACGACGGTTACTTGCAGGTCGACCGGAATCAATGGTGGCCTGAAACTTATCCGGCTGGAGACGCTTGGTCTGTCAATGAGTGGCCGTTCAATTACCAAGAGGAGGCCTCCTCTGACTCCGTTTCCGCCTCACTCCCTGCCTATGAAAGGCTTACTGATTTCCCGGCTAAGCCATACAGTGCCGTCGATCTTAGAGGCTTGACCAGCGATGAAGCCCGATTTGTATTATTGATGACCGGCGAGTGGCGACGCCGGACCCGGGCAAGGTTGGATTTTGCCTTGCCTAGGCTGATCGATAATTTATATTACCGGTCCGATGTGGCCGTTCCGGTGTTCGCCGCAGATCACCCTCAGACCCCTGCACCGCCGTCCTGGCAAATGGCTTGGGCCGCGCTGACTAAATACGTCACTCTCAACAGGGTATTCGGGCATTTCTCAACAGCCCTTTACTTAGTTACCGGAGCGATGTATCAGATGCTGCCGGTAACGGTCGAAGGCCAAATTTGGCTGTCGTTCAAGTGGAAGATGTCGCTGCCGGCTTTCGCTTCGGTGCGAGGCAGATTCACGTGTTTCAACGAGGAGGAAGCTGCATTTGGAAATCAAAGGGCTTTTGATGAGTGGGGATACATTTCCAACCGGTTTGAGAAGATAAATCTCATGGCTTATTTGTTTGCTCAGGCTACACAGACGGGAATGGGGGTTCGAAGTACACGCCGAGGTTTAGAGGAAAATCCTACTGATTTGTATGAAACCGGTTTTTGCAACCATGGCAGTTCACTTCCTCATTGCTTAGTTTATTCTGCAACAGATCTGACCCTAATTATGTTTCTTTCAGCTTTTTTTTTTTTTTCCTGTAGTTTTGATCTGCTCTTTCGAATCATCTTCAGATTCTCAAACATGATTAACACAGATGTGTGTAATGGTTCAAATTATTTTAATTTCTCGACTTAATTGGCTCTCAGTAGTGTGTAAGTTCTTGAGTTTTCTAGTTCTGGGTGACCGTGATCTAGCATGGCTAATATTGCATCCAACTCTTTTTGTCTGCACAATGTAATCAGCATTGTTGGGATGAAACCCCTCCTTTTTGGGATAGTAAATTAGACCCCTGTTATGGGAAACATTCTAGTTGAAGTTGGAGTCTTGCAATATAGGAAATGGATGGGGAACATTTGTTCAGAAATGGTTTTTTCTTTTCCCAATCAATATGTTCTCCAGCTCACTGAGCGGGAGGAGAAAATGCTAGCTAGTGCATCTTTATAGCACAAACAAATTGTTCAATCTTTATAATTTTTCTTTTCACTGAAATCTCAATAATGTTTTTACTTTAGTATGTGTATGAGTAATGTTGGCTTTTGAAATCAGGAGGAGTTTGTATAAGCTTATCCGGGCAGCGATCTCTTGAAAATTATATACTTTTTCAGAGAACAAAATGTGTGAGAATTGAGAACACTTTATTGTGATCATCATTGAAGCTAGTTTTTCTTTCCAGCATATATAACAACATTGCGTTGAATCATTTTCTTCAGAGATAACTCTCCAACAGCAACCCTGACTAATCATGCGGCAGCTTGAAAACTATTTGAAGGGACAATTTCTTGGATAAATTTTTCAAAACCACTTGAATGTTCAGTAACCCGTTACTCCAAGGCCATAAGGAGTGGATTCTCAAGATCATCGCCTTGGAAAGCTTGTCAGAAAATAGTTAAACTTGGACTAAAGATTAATATTTTTCCTACGAAAATCTGTGTATATGTTGTCAAACATAAAAGATTGAATAGAGTTATACAGTTTATGCAATATAAACAGGAAAAAGGGAACAATTATAGAGTTGAAATAAGCTCACAACCAAACAAAAGGAACATTGATAATTATTTTTTGTACTGAAAACATAACTCAGGAAAAGGAAAGAAATCTACAGATGAAAGCCAACTTCATTTCAACGCAACAAAACCTGAAAACCAGTGACATTTATACCCCTCTTTGTTCATAAAAAAAGCAATAAACATAAAGGACTTAAAAGGAGGAGGAAATTCCTCAAGAAATATAACATTGATCATCAAAATATAGAAACATGCTACAACCAATGTTATCCTTAAACTGATCATCAGACTCTCATCGTTAGTTAAGCTCAATTAATTAGTAGAACATCAAAGTGATTATGTCTAGAACTATGCTTAAGAGATAAGAAATATATGTTACCTTCTTTGTATCTTGTCGGGTTCAAATCAAACTTGCTCTCAGATATGGCCTCACCAAAGTCATGAAGCAAGTTTTTGGACACCTTGCGACCTGGAAATGAAAAAGATTGATAAAATTCTTTTCTTTTAGGTTTTTTGGAGTTTTTTTTTTTTTTAAAAAAAAATCAGATTGCTTACCTTGATCAACATGTGATATCATAAATCCACCACCTGTGCAGACATTGTATGTTATTAGCCCTTTAGATGTTATTGAAAATTTTTAACGTGAAACTGACATGTGTCATTTTTGTATGTTGTTTTAATTAAGTACAATAGGTGACCATACCAAATGGTTAAAAGGGAAGACTGCTTGGTTAATGGAGGTTACATTTATAAAAGTTCTGAAGTTTCCCAACCAACCGTTCAAGCATTGAAACTTGTTTCATAGCACAAATGATCTTGTCTAAAGTCTAAACGCTTGAAGTCTCAAAATCAACTGTTGAAGTAATAGTGATCTTTTAGCTAGGTCTCAACGATCCTCTTAAAGCACTTACTAAAATGTGTGTTCTTAAAACTTCATCAAATGGCCATAAAAAAAAAAAAAATTTCCTTTCTTTACTGACGATGCCTAGAATTGCGCCTTGACAATGCCTGGAATTGCGCCTCCGGCTTGGTGGTGGAACTCCGATTAGGGTTTCCTGTAAAACAGAGCCTCGGGACCTCCCGATGGTAGACACTTCGAAACTTAAGTCAGAAAATAGGGTTGCGAAATAATGTGTATATGTGAATCGGTGCTAGAGATAACGTACCTCAATTGTGGTGCCTTCATCCCTATTTATAGACACAGGAATACCTTAAGGGAACATGAATCCTACTAGGGTTTAGTCATATTGCCGCCCTATTGGAGTCGGTCGGGCTCCTTACTCGGTTAATGGGCCGGTCCAACATCGGTGGTGGATATAGACTCGTCAAGTGCCCCTGTCAAGTATTAGTTAAATGAAATAAACAAGATTTGATAAAATATAAATCTAACCTGGACTCGGCCCAAGTTAATTGTACAGCCGACAGCCCAAAGTGTCTTAAGCAGGCCTGTTGGTATAACTCGCGGGTCAAAACTCGATCCGACAACACAGCCCGCTTCAGAATCCCGCCCGAATCCTGGCAGACGTGTCCTATTATTTGGCACGATTTCCAAACAACGGCCGCGCTGTCATTATTGTCCCTTAAACTCCGCTCCAACCATCGAATCGTAGTTTCCGACTTCACATCCACCATAAACTCTACCGATAAAGCCAAAGCCATAGCCAAAAAGTACGATTTCCCAGTAGATCTAGAATATCGAGCACCTTTAGGCACAAAAATAGTTGAAAAGTATGATTTCCCAGTAGATCTAGAATATCAAGCACCTTTAGGCACAGAAAGGGCTACTACTCCTCCAGAGGGGAAAATAACTGTATATGATAGGTTTATGTTTTTAGGGCTAATATTCCCCCTTTACCCTCTGTTTGGAGATATAGTTCAATACTACAAGATTTTCCATGCTCGATTACACCAAACTTAATATCGGCAGTCTTCGAATTTGCGAGGCTCTGCGAGTTGAAGAAGGTTGATCCTCGATTACTCGTGTGGAGGTATTTTTCAAAGTCTGTGTCCCATCGACGAAATATAAAGATTGGTATAACGTAAAGAAGAATCCCAAGTCGGGTGCGGAGCAGATAATAGAACTCTTCCACGGTTCTCCAGTGTGGAAACTAAATTATTTGTTTGTACAGGCTCCAGAGGATTTTTGTGTGGCCTGGGATTATCGTGAATCCCAGGAGATGGGTGTTATAGCTGATGTCTGGTCTAAATCTGATAAGCCCAGGATCGAGCAGTTTAGGGACGACATTACTGCTCTGGAATCCTTAAAAAATTATCTCAAATGGAAAAAAGTGCAGCAGTACATTCCCCCAATTCCTTCAAGGATAAAAAAGGTACTAACTCCTCTTGTGTATTCCTTTTGTTCTAGGTTATGTCTTCGAGCAAGAACACCGTTGGCTTTTTTGGTGATTCCAAGATTTTTGACATTAAAAATTCAGATGATGAAGGATCTTCAAGCAAGATCAGCAAGAAGAGAAAGTTGAGGAGGCTAGTGAAAGCGTCAGAAGCAGGCGCTAAGTCAAAAAAGAAGAAGCAGGCTCCTCTAGTCGAGAAAGAAGGGCTAGTCGAGGAAGTTAAGCCCGTCGAAGAAGACAAGACCGTCGAGGAGGATAAGCCCGTTGAGGAGGGTAATCCTATCGAGGGTAATGTCCCTCTAGAGAAATATGGGAATCCGGAAGCAGAACGCGACCCAAGTTGGTTTGCAACATTTCTGCCTTCGCTATCTCGGAAAAAGGGCGTTGTTGAGAATCCGGACGCCTCTCCAAGGTCATGATCATACACTGCAGCCGCCGCCATATTCCACTTTGGGGATGATAGAATGGAATGCCCCATATAGAAGAGGTAGCCAAAATGATGACCGATGAAGAAGCCTTGAAAATGGTAAATTTTACCAACACAAATGTTTTCTGCACTCACGGCTTGTAACTAGTATTTCAATTTATACTGATCTCTTGCTTGCAATTTCGACAGCTAACCACCTCCTTGGCGAGGATCCTTATGCGTAAAAAGAAGCTAAGGGAGGAAATCTTCAATTTGGAGCTCGAGAAGGGGTTTATCGAGCGTGAGAAAGCAATCTACGAGGAGGCAAAGAAGAAGGAGCAGTTAATGCGAGCTGCCAAGGAGGTGGAGCTGGCCACTGCCCAGGCCATGTATAAGGAACTCGAGGCCAAACTGAAAGAATATGGGGAAACCCATATATCCAAAACAGAGTTGCAGAAATGGATGACTGCATTTTGGGCCAGAATGATGCCCACTGGAGGGATGGCCAATGTCATGGTGGGCATAAGTGAAGCAGCTATTGCACTAGGCAGCCATGGCATGGCTATTGCCGCTCTCGAAAGGATGGAATCTGGAAAGCCTGTCACCGCCAACTGGCTACAACAATTAGTGAAATTGCATCCTCGAAAAATCCTGTATGAAGCGATGAAGAATGGGTTGATGCATCTTACCACTGAACAACTCCCTTTGTTCGGGCCTTTGTGTAGCACCATCCCCCAAATAGGATCACCCTCAGAAATCACCTCCTTTGAAGGAAATGCCCCAATGTTGTTACCTGCTAAGCCTAGGGAAGAGATGCGGGTACCCGAGCTTGACCGAGATTTCATTGGTGTCGAGCTAGTTTCTGATGAAGACTCCTCCGAGAAGGTCGAGGAGGATAAGGAAGAGGAGCGGGAGCCTGAAGTTGAGAAGGAACCGTGATGTAGACCTTCCTGAGGAAGCTCCCATCATGACACCTAAGTCTTCTGGTCCTATGACACGTTCTAAAGCCAAGAAGTTGCAAGAAAGTGTCAATGGTCTCCTACGTTAGACGGAAGTACCTATACCGAAAGAGTATGACGCTAGGTTGATCAATTTCCTTACCATTCAAGTCTAGTGTTTTCTGGTCCTTTCAGGTATGGTTTGCGGTGAAATAATTCAACTTGCCCGAGGAAAAATGATGTTTGCCGAGAGAATCAACAAATGCACCTATTCGGCTAACCCGTTTGCCGGGAAAAGGTCATTACTCGGACAACTCTTCACCTGTGCCCAATTTTTACATCCGATGATCGTTTTGGACATTTTATATACACATTATCGGAGGTAGAACCCAGCTTGTCCAGGAGATTTTGCCATTTTCTGAGAGTTTTCTCAAAACGGCCCATTTTGCCGAGTCAAGAACCCGGGAGAGCCGTTTCAGCTTGCCGATTTGATGTTGTGGCCTGATTTTTGGCTTATTTTGATGTTGTAAGTTATTTTAAGTGTTAGAACCTGAAAGAGGGATTCCTTAGGGACCAGGAAAGGTCCACTAAGTCAAGTAATTATTTTTCTAAGATTTTCTAATAGTATAGGAAAGTTAGTTGTATTATTTTAGACATAGTTGCAACTTTTGACTTTTCTAGTTGCTTGCTTCACCACCTAACTTGTGGAGCCAGCCAAGTTTGATGTGATAAAGAGTCTTCTTCCTCAAAAAAAAAAAAGAACGGAGAAAAGAAAAAGAAAATTCCATAGCTTTTCAAAGCTTGAAACCGAGAGATCATCAATGGATTGTCCATGGTGAAATCTTGCAATTCCAAGGTTGGACTTTGGTGGTTTGCACTCTGAGAGTGTCAAGCAACGAGTATGGCAGCTAGGGATGAGTTTGGCCTGGTTGTTGGACCTCTCTAATCAAGTTTGTAACAATCTAACAGGAGCCAAGGTCGTTGAATCCATTTCCTTTGCGATTGTTAGTGATTCCTTTACTTTGGTTGTTGTTATCAACTTGGTAGCATACTAAGCTCTCTTTCCATTCAGATCTCATGTCATATTGCTCTTTTAGGTGTAGTTTTGGTGGTTGCATCTATTTGTGTATCGAATTCCTTTATTACTAAGTAATCTAGCCAAACCGTGAATTGTGTTCATGGTTATATCTTGCGATTGATCCTTGCGTCTTCGATTCTGCCTGCGTGCTCCATGTGTTTGACTTCATATTTTCTGAAAATCCTATCTTGTAAGTCTAAAAGGGTTTAGTAGGCCAGGGGTGTCAATTTATTAAGCCAAACATTGCATGACTCCAGGTTGTATCACTTAGGGTCAGTCTATTTTTTCCAATTTTTGTTTTAGTACTTTTAGTTGTCCAAAAATTCTGAAATCTGGTGGATTTTAACTTCAGTGTATTGGAGATATTGTGTCCAAATTTCAGGTCAAAATAAATTTGTTTACTATATAAACGAATCCAATATATTTTCTGTGGCAGATTGGTCCAAATCCATTTAGCTACTGCCTATTTTGGTTATTGGGGCTGTAGGCGTCCAAATGCGCTCAAAAAAATTTGCCATAAATTTTCATTCCATAATATAAGTATTGTGTCAAATTTTCAGGGCAATCCGACGTCGTTTGCCTGGGGTTCATTTTTTTGTTATAATTACTACTTTCGTCGGTTTTGCATGTATTCTGAAAATCAGTTTGGTTACTGGGGTTTTTGCCACCATTCAGAGCTTCATCGTCTATCAATAAACTCCTGAAAGAGTGTTTGTGGAATGGTAAAGTCCGGGGCAAGGGTTACCTTTCATATCCATATGTTTCGCTTCCGATTTTGGGGATTTCGGGTAGAAATCTACATCAAACCGGTAGGCGAGAAAGAGGGTTCCTCGACTCAGACTCCTGTCAAGAGAACCAGTGAGAGCCAACCAAATATCCCGCCTAATCCAAATGCCGTATGAGCTCCTATCTTGTAACAGGATTTTTGCTACTTGGGTTGTATACCTTAGCTTTCTGTAGTAATTACTAAATGAATTCTGTCAACTCGGAATTTACATAATGCCTTCTTCTTCTCTTTTCCTCTCTTTGTTTTTGACGTATCCTTGCTCATTATGTCAGGAGCCGTATTATGTCCATAATGTGCATTTGATGATTCTTGAGGAGGATGAGATCAAACATTTCCCTATGTATGCCATGATTTCATCAGCATTGAGAAAATTTGAGAATGTTCACAACACCGCTATAGTGAGAGCCCTCGAGAAAGAGATTGTGGGCGCTGTTTAAGCTTATAATTTGCAGATACACTCTCGCTTAGTTCAACGTTTTAAACAAAAAGAGGAGGAGTGGAGACGTCGACTCCATCAATACGATCTCGACTTCCAAGATTCCCTTATTCTAGAGGCGAATATCAGCGATGAGATGAAAAAGCTGAAGGATAAAAATGCTCGATTGAGGAAGCGTGAGAAGATTGAGGTATCTCCATGGTTCCTCGAGAAATTCGAGCTACTTGCCTTGGTCGAGAAACAGATAGAGGTCCAAACAGAACGTTTCATAGCTGCAATTGATCTCCTAAAGAAGAGAACCAAAGAAGCAGAGTTCTACTCGAAACAAGTCGCTGTTCTACAGAACATATTGGCCGACAACAAAATCCCGCTGCCCATTTTTGATGATCTCGATCCAGATAATGAAGCGAAAGAAAGGACAGCTGCCGAGGAATATCTGCTTAGAATCGACGACCAAGATTAGGAGATCGTAGATCTAAAGGATAAGTTAAGCCATTGTGTTAACCAGCTTAGAGCTATTGGGTACTCTGGGGTTATTAAGCCATCCCGATCCAACCCTAGGGGAAAGAATCTTAAGATCTAAATGTATAATGATGTAAATTTCTGTCCCCGCACTCAATGTGAGGGTAATATGTTCATCTCAAGCTTGTATAAGCGTCGATTGTATAATTATACTCGAGCATAATTTGTGTAGCATTTATTGGCTAGATGTAAAGTACACGGCTCTGTCGAGGAACCAGGTACGGATCCCTCGATAAAATAGTACCGTGATCTATGGTGGGTACGAGGAAACATCCTCGGTTTATATGTCCGGATGTTGAATACACGACACAATTGATGATGGCCCTAAAGAGGGTGTCCATCTTGTTGACTAGTCATAAGATAGTGTCGACACATTTAAAGTATGAAAAATATGCAATGACTTTTATTGATAATTACCCGGGGACTCGGGATAGCATTGCATACAAAGGAAATGAAAATAACAAGTCATAGAGCAAGCAAAATAACACATAGCATATAATAATTTAGACATAGAACCTGCAAAGGTTCTGAATGTTCCACCATCGAGGAAGAGTGGTCTCTATGTCATCTGTTGTCTGCATTCGATAGCTGCCAGACGGGGAGACTTGAATGACTCGATAAAGTCCTTCCCAATTTGCTGAAAACTTTCACGGGGCTTCTGCTCGACTGGCTTCATTTTTCCTGAGTACTAGATCCCCGACTGCTCACTTATTGTAGTGTTTTCTAAGGATCTCTTTGTACTTGGCTTCCCGAACTTTTACGGTGTCTCGCCGTTCCTCGAGCAGGTCGAGGTTAGTCAAGATGTCTTCATTATTGGTTGTCTTGACAAAGCTGATTGTTCGAGAACTAGGAAGACCGATTTTGACTGGGAGAACCGCGTCCATTCCATAGACGAGACTGTAAGGTGTTTCATCCGTCGAGGAGAGAGCTGTAGTGCAATATGCCCATAAAACGTGAGAGAGCTCATCAACCCAAGCACCCTTGGCACTGTGCAACCTAGTCTTGATCTCATGTAGAATGGTTCTGTTAATCGACTCGGCTTGGCCGTTTGCTTGAGGATGAGCAACCGTGGAAAGTCGGTGTTTGATTTGCATCTCCGCACACCATGACTTGAACGGATCACTCTCAAACTAAGTCTCATTATCTGATACAATTATCTTGGGCACTCCAAAGCGACAAACCACGTTTTGCCATAAAAAATTCAACACATGTCTCCCGGATATCGAGGCTAATAGTTTTTCTTCTACCCACTTGGTAAAATAGTCTACTGCCATGATAATCCACCATAGTCCTCCTGCCCCTTTTGAAAAAAAAACCAATGATGTCAGTGCCCCATAGGTATAATGGCCACGGGCTTTGGATGGTTATCATTTCATGTTGCGGTTGCCGAGTGATTGGCGAGAACCGCTGACATCTATCACACTTTTGCACAATTGGTAGGCATCTTTGAAAACTGTCGGTCAAAAGTATCCTGTTCGAAGAACCTTTTTATCTAATCCTCTTGCTCCCATATGGGCGCCACATGAGCCTTCATGAATTTCTTTGAGGACATAGGCTGCTTGTCTGGGGCTGATACACCCGCATCATTTGCAACAAATACCCGTGCTTATACAAGATTCCGTTCCTTAGTGCATACTTAACTGCCTTCAATTTCAGTGCTCGAGCCTCTGACTTATTGTCGGGTAGCACCCCACTTTCGAGGAACCGTGCGAATGGAGTCATCCATGTTTCGCCATCTTCTGTGATAGTAAGAGAGACTCAGGGATAAATGCTAGGTTCAGGGAGCATTTCGACCCAAACCTTATGACTTAATTGTGCGAAGTCAGACGAAGCTAGCTTACTCAGGGCATCGGCTCTTTTGTTGCTGGTTCTGAGAATGTGGGAGATAGAACATTTCTCGAACTTGTCCCTGAGCTCGAGGACTTTTTCAAGGTATGGCCGGAGATGCTCTTCCCGGACAGCGTAATCGCCGCCAATTTGCCTAACCACCACTTCGGAGTCGCTAAAAACTTCCAAATTCCGGACTCCTAGCAGTACACTCCAATTTCTGTGATGTAGGCTGTTTTCTCTGCATCTTCTCGAGCCATAAGGATCTGGTAGTATCCTTTATATGCGTCGAGGAATCTAAGTGTTCTAAAACCAGTTATGCCCTCGACCATCTGATCAATGACGGGCAAAGAGTAACAATCCTTAGGGCAATGTTTGTTAAGATCTGTGTAATCCTGACACATGCGCCAGGAATTATCCTGTTTCCGGACAAGGACTGGGTTGGCCAGCCACGTTGGCCAAAGGACTTCCCGGAGAATGTTGGCGCGGACCAATTTGAGCATTTCCTCGTTAATGACGTCATTACGATCCGGGGCAAAAATTCTCTTTTTCTGTTTGACCGGTTGGACATTGGGATCGACATTCAACCTGTGCTCGATGATTTCTCGAGGAACTGAGGTCATGTCAGACAGTGACCAAGCAAAAATATCTCAAAATTCGCGTATTAAGGCGATTACCTCGACTCGCAAGATTCCGTCTATAGATATTCCAAGCTTGATGGTCTTTTCTGGCTCTTTCTCGTCCAGGATAAACTCTTCTGTCTTGCTGCTCAGTGGTAGCTGTTGAGGATGATTGAGATCCATGTCCTGCTCTTCCCCTTTACATTCGATTGGTAACACTCCTTGTTGAACAGAGTAACACCCCGACGCGGTGACAGTCAGCTCTGGATTTACTGTTTTCTTCCCGATTTTCACCCCCGTGAGCAAGCATTCTCGAGATCTACGCTGGCTGCCTTGCATAATTCCTACCCCATACTCTGTTGGAAACTTCATGACCAAGTGGTAGGATGACCAAACAGCGCGGGTCTGACACATCCATGGCTGTCCTAGGATTACATTAAATGGCGAGAGTGCATCGATTATGGCAAAATCTATTGTTAGAGTTACCATTCGAGGATGTGACTCTACCGTGATAGGAAGCCTGACAATCCCACTAGGGATTATCGTGTACCCTGAAAAGCCCATTAGCAGTAATGTTGCGGGGCGCCAATCTAGATTTGTTACGTTCATCTTCTTGAAACACGCACTGTAGATTATATCCACCGCACTTCCGTTGTCAACATATACTCGGCTTACTTTGATATTTTCTATGATGGCCTCGATAACCATTGCATCACTGTGCAGACAGATGCCCCGGACAACATCACTGTCCGTAAAGACTATTGCCTTCATCCTTTTGAACCGTTTGTGACTTGGTTCTTGAGGTGATGTCTTAGTTACTTCTCGAAGTGATGCCTTCATTGCTGTTGTGTATGGGACCTCAAGGGACGCGCTGTAGATAGCTCCTACGTTGTGAATGATCTGCTTGGTTGGATCTGGAGGAGGAACTTGCTAAATCGGCTGTGGCCAGCCAGGGATTGCTGGGCAGGCTGCTGCGAGTTATTCCTTTGTTGCCAATTGTTTCCTCGATTATCTCCTCGAGGGCCGCAGTTATTATTTCGTTTCGGGAAATTACGGGGTGCCGCGAACTTCCCTCCCTTTTCTCGAGGATACCTTGTGTGTTTTGTACATATTGCTGAAACTTTCCAGATTTGACTCCAGCTTCAATTTCCCGCTTGAGTTCCCTGCAATTTTCTGTATCATGCCCGTTGTCTTTATGGTATTCACAGTACTGACTCGTGGACCTATTTGGGTTGTGAGCTAATGGTTTTGGAACGGGAAACTCGTCCTTGTGAATCTGAAGTATTTCTCGTCGAGGCTTCAACAACGGGGTTAAGGTCCTGTCGAGCCTAGGCAAGGGCGGTTTACTCTCCGTCGTCGACTTGTACTTGTCCCTTCCCCCTCGATCTCCGGCAACCGATAAGGATTCTTGCAATCGCTTATGTGTCTGTTCGCGCTGGACATAGCTTTCCACTGTGGCCCACATCTCCTGTGTGTTTCGAGGAGGTTTGGTGGTCAACTTCACTCGCATGTGAGCAGACTTTCCCCATGGGTTGAGGCCTTGGATAAATCCGTTTTGGACATCTCTGTCATCGAGGTAATCTGCTTGGAGAGATTCTCGAGTAAGATGGCGATGGAAATCCGAGAGACTCTCGTTCTGTCCTTGCTTGATCGACGCCAGGTCAATTGACATTTTTGTAATTTGCTTGTTGGGGAAGAAGCGTGTGGCTAGTTTCACCAACAAGTCCTCGAAACTGTCAATGCTTCCTTTCGGTAACTGTTCAAACCAACGTTGTGCTTGTCCATCAAGGAAAGATGGTAGAGCTTTTGCCATGAAGTCAAGAGACGTGTTCCGAATTCTCATGACTTGCACATACTTGTGCAAAAATCGCTGTGGATCAGTGTCTCTCGAGTAGTTGATGAAGTCTTTCGGAAAGTCAAAGTCTTGAGGTTTCTAACAGTCTCGAATCCGTGGGACAAAAGGACTCTTATCCATGATCATTCCTATCATTTTTCTCATTGAGTCGCGGATGGACGGGTCTTTGTAGCCTTGGTTCTCTTGTTGTCGAGCAAATTGGGGCTCTTCAGAATATGAAACGTCGTACCTGATGACCATAAGTTAGGTATCTTGAGTTGTGGTGAGTATCACGGTGATCGTGATAAGACCTCTCCGGAGGAGCTTTAGGCCCCAGTCAAGAGTGAACATTACCTCATGGAGGGGAGTCCCAATTCCTTCTCGACAACTCCTCGACACTGGGTGATCGTGGGCTAGGCTGGCAGTGAGACTGTTTTTTCTGTTCATGTTCTTTTATAAATTGTTCGATTGCTGCATAAACTGGCGGATTTTTTCACTCGAGAGCGTCCCAGAAGGTATCACCAGAGGTTTCGGAGAGCTCGACGCCAGAAGTTTCGCGATTGCGGGCTTCTTTATGAAACTCTTCTCCCCCTTCACCCAACACTTTCTGTTTTCCTTGTCTCACCTCTAGGAGGACTAACGTTCTCATCGCCTCCTTCTCCTCGACCAGATCTTCCAGCTCTTGATCCGTGGGATCGGAGAGGCCAAGCAAACAACAACGTTGGTATTCCTCTAGTATATATTTCTTTTTCCTCTGGTTAAAGGAATTGCTGTCTTTCAAATTCTTCAATTCCGTTTCGATCACGGCCAGTTGCTATCTTTGGTATGGATCAGGAACTTTGCGATGGGTTTCTGGATCTCCTTCCCCCTCACCTCCGTGACTAGTTGGCTTTGTGGGGGTTTTTCTTTCTTTTCGATTGTCAGTCGTTTTTCTTCCGCTTCAGCCTCTCCTGGAATCCCGCTAGGGTTTCATCATCGTTGGGACTTTCACGCCTATCAGTTGATGCGGTACTGAATTAAAGATTGTCGATTATCGTCATCCTGTCTTGGAAAAACCCTATCTTGGAGACG